AAGCTAATGGGTAGTTTAGACTCATTCAGTGGTGCTGTGCAACCAAAGCCTGGTGATCTGCTCCCATAAAGATTACAACCAAGAAAACCTTATAGAGACATTCTACTCTGTAACAGATGGAGTCACAGTCAGCCTGAATGGATTTGAAGGCAACAAGTAAGAACTTTCAGGAACTTCTTAACCTTTGTGGTTTATAGGACAAGTTTCAGATCTGTTGTTCATTGGATCCCTATGAGTCATATGTGACTCAGTGATACCTAACAACAACTATGCTTATTGGATCCACAATCAACACCCACAGTAGCAGCAGTTAAGAAATAAAAAAAGTACTGGATTGGGAAAATTGTTGTCAAGGACCTCTCCAAAACCCCAAAGAGCAAGGCTATCAGTCTAAAGATTAAGGGCATCTGACCCAAGTCTTGGTCTTTTCAATTATGTCACATACATCTGAAAGTTAGTCAAGGAATAAGGAAGAATGAAGAAAAAGCAATACCTTTGAATTGTGGTGTTGGGGGAAAGTATAGAAGATCCCATGAACTGTCAAAAGAACAAGCAAATCTATCTTGAAAGAAGTACAACCAGAGTGCTCCTTAGCAACAAGGATGATAAAACTAAGTGCCACTTACTTTGGGCATATTTTCAGGAGGAACCAGTCATTGGTGGGAGACATCAGGCTGGAAAAGGGAGAGGGTCAGTTAAAAAGTTGACCATCCACATGATGGTCAGTGACTACCACAGTTGGCTTGAGTATGACAGAGATCGTAAGGATGGTGCAGGACAGGGCAAGGTTCAGATCTGTTGTTCGAAGGGCTGCTATGTATGAGTCTTAGTCAATTCGACTGTCATCTAACAACAACAATCATGTTTATTAGATTTTTTTGTGATTAGTGGTAAACCTCATAAAATATAAGGACCAAGCTGTTTGCCTTTGGGTATTTGCAAAAGAAAGATCCTGTGGTAATGATGGACTGCTAGTCTTGTTGTTGTTTTTGTTATGTTCTGTCAAGTCAATTGTGACTCACAGAGACCCTGTGAACAATAGCTCTCAACCCTGCTCTATCCTGAGCCAATCTCACTTTGACACACCTACCCTTATTACTCCAGTTATTGTGTCAATCCATCTCTTCCAGGGTCTTCCTCTCTTGCACTGTCCCTCCACCCTTCCAAGCATGATATCTATGGCCAAAATATGTGAGACAGAGCCCCAAAATCCTTGCTTCCAAGGAGAAGCTTGACTTCACCTTGTCCAGGACAAACCTGTTAGTTCTCTTGGCAGTCCATGGTATGTTCAAAACTCTTCTCCAGCATCACAATTCAAAGGCATCAATTCTTCTTCTGTCATTCTTGATCATTGTCTCGCTAGTCTTATGAAAGGAAATATCACAATGAATCAGAGGGAGAGGCTCATAAAATAAGAAAGACAAGAAAACTGCCAAAGAATAAAGAAGATATGAAGCTGCCTGGGCCTGAAAATGTAGTTTATCTGATTTTCCAACATCTTTATCTTCTCTTGCCCAAAGAATAGCAATTCTCTTTTCACTGGTCTCTCCTACATCTCTGCCATGCTCAAGCCCATTGTTACAGTCACTATGTGTATCCATCTTGTGGAGGGTCTTCCTTTAATAGATCCTCTACCCTTCCCAGCATGAGATCTTTTCCCAAGGGCTGTTTCTTCCATCTAAAATGCAGGTCTGATCACATCATTCTCTACAAGGGACTGAGTTTTGCCAAAAACTATGCTGGGAAGTTTTCTATCTATTTGTACAAATAAATTGTGTGTGTGTGTTACATAACCCTCATAATTTCCCTACAAGATTAGCAATTCTATCCCCAGAAAGCTTAACACTCTTTTCAGAGTCAGTTATTTAACTGTTGTTGTGTTGTTATGTGCCATTGAGTCGCTTGCGACTCATAGCGACCCTAAGTACAAGAGTCCTAAACCCTGCTCTATCCTGTGCCAACCACATTGTCTCCAACACACCTACTCCCACTACCCCAATCACTGAATTGATCCATCTCATCAAGGGTCTTCCTCTCTTGTGCTCTCCCTCTAATCTCCCAAACATGATGTCTCTCTCCAAGGACTGGTCCCTCCTGGCAACATGCCCCAAATATGTCAGATGAAGCTTCAGAATCCTTGTCCCCAAGGAGCATTCTGGCTTCACCCTCTCCAGGAAAAACCTTCTTGTTCTCCCAGCAGTCCATGGTATATTCAACACTCTTCTCCAGCACCACAGCTCAAAGGCATCAATTCTCCTCCTATCCTCCCTAGTCACTGTACAGCTCTCCAGAACATAGCACACAATTGCAAAGACCATAGCCTGGATCAGGCACACCTTAGTCTCCAGCCTGATGTCATTGCTTTTCAGTACTCTGGAAAGGTCCCTGACAGCTGATTTCCCCCAGTGTAATTCATCTCTTGATTTCCTGGCTGCTGGTCCTAATAGTATTGACTGTGGAGCCAAGCAAACTAAACCTATTAACTATTTCAATCTCTTCACCATCTATCATGATGCTGCCAATTGGCCCAGTGGTGAGAATCTTTGTTTTCTTAATGTTGAGCTTCAATACATATTGAAGGCTTCACTCCTTGACCTTCTGGACCAAGTGCTTCAGGTCCTCCTCAGTTTCAGCAAGCAGGGTGTGTCATGTGCATAACACAGGTTGTTGATGATAGAAAATCAAAAGGGCCTGACTCCCTCAACATTTCTTAAACTGAAGGAATTGAAAAACAAATTCAAGCCACAAATGGTAATACTTAAGTATGCTTTGGGCAGAGTGTTAAATGATCCAAAAGGCATTAAAAGAAGATGGAAGGAGTACACAGAGTCAAAGTACCAGAAGGAACTGGCTGACACAGAAGAATTTAATGAAATAATGTATGAGCAAGAGTCTGTGGTGATGAAGGAGGAAATCAAGTTGCTCTGAAAGAATTGGCAAAAAACAAGATTCAGGAGTGGACGGCATACCAATTTATTTATTTCAACAAATAGCCACTGTGCTGGATGTGCTCACTAAGCTGTGCCAAGAAATCTGGAGGACAGCCAGCTGGCCAACTGACTGGAAGAGACCAATATTTGTTCCCATTCCAAAGGAAGGTAACCAGACAGATTGTGGAAATTATCGAACAATGTCACTGATATCACACGCAAGCAAGATTCTGCTGAAAATTATCAAAAACTGGAGCAACACGTTAACAGAGAACTGTCAGATGTATAGGCTGGGTTTAGAAGAGGACGTGATTTCTAGGGATATCATAGCTAATGTTAGATGGATCGTGGCAGAAAGCAGAGAGTACCAGAGGAATGTCTATCTGTGCTTCATTGACTATGCAAAAGCTTTTGGCTCTGTGGATCACAACAAGCTGTGGCTGACTCTGAGAAGAATGGGAATCCCAGAACATTTTGATTATGTGAAACCTATACTTGGACCAAGAGTCAGTCGTCAGAACAGAGCAAGGAGACACTGCACGGTTCAAAACTGGGAAGGGTGTTGGCCAGGGATGTATTCTGTCTCCATACCTTTTCAATCTGTATGCAAACAGGTCATCCAGGACGCTGGAATGTGAGGAATGTAACATCAGGATTGGTGGAAAATTCATCAACAAACTGCATTATGCAAATGACACAAGCTGAGTTATTTAATAAATGCCTGATATATTTTACTCTAAGACTAAAGCTGCAAAGAAGACTTAGAATCCCTGCGGGGAGTTTTACTCCATTCTGCAGGATCACTCTGGATTGGAACCCACTCGAAGACAATAAGTGGGTTAACCAAAACTAGTATCTGGTGGCCTTGTGATAAAAATCTGTGCTGTGATTCCAAAGGCACATGGTTTGAATCCATCTGCTATTCTGAGGAAGAAGGATGGGCAATCTCCTCCTATGTGATGTGATTTACTGCCTCTGAAAACCTGCTAGAATTGTCAGGTATGGGTCAGTTCCCTTGATGGCATACAGCAATAACAATAATGTCTTGGAAATTTAGCTTTCTTATGAAATATTATGCAAAAATTGTGACAATTTGGATGCAATCAACTGGTCAACCACAGGGGGATAGTTTTGAAGAAAGTCAGTTACACAATCACTTTGTGTAATATGGCATAACAACTTAAAGTGCTATCACTACTGCAACTTTCTTTGAAATGCATAAAAAATAAGATGGATTGTGTTTAGATAAAGATAGATATGTGACACAGGAGGGATAGAAAAACATGGTCTCAAGTGTGTCAGAGATTGTAAGGATGGCACAGGACAGTTCAGGGTTCTAATCTGTTGTTCACAGGGTCGTCATGAGTCATACTCAACTTGACAGCACCTTAACAACAACAGCAATTGAGACTCAAGGGATGTGAATATAAATATTTATAAAATATATATATTCTGTGTG